TCCTAAACCTACCACTGGATGGTCAATTTGTCAAACTGTGGTGGCTTGTGTGTTGCTAGACGCTATGCCACTAGCATTTCAAATACCACCACGGTCATCCATGGTGCACAGGTTCAGTGGAGCTTTCAGACCTAGAGATCTACTTCGGAAAAGCTGGCCCATGAAAGCCTTTTGAATAGCCGTGAAACAAAGCCTGCAACAACACCCTCAGGCTGGAAGACACTCCAACTATGACTGAGAGTGATCTTCTCCAATTAGAGTTCAGTTCATGATGTGGATGGAAGAAAATTTTAGGATCTTTATTTGTAGATATGTCACAAGTCAAGGTGAGAAGAAGTAGCTGTAAACATCCATTAATAATTGGAATATGGAATGCACGAAGTATGAATCTAGGAAAACTGGAAGCTGTACAAACTGAAATGGAATACATAAAGATCAGTATGCTAGGTATTAGTGAGCTGAAATGGACTAGGATGAGTGATTCTGAATTGCTGGGGCAGACAAATGAAAGAAGAATGGAATCATATTCATTGCCAAAAAGAACATTTCAAGATCGACCCTGAAGTAGTACAATGCTGTCAGTAATAGGATACTATTTATGTGCCTACAAGGAAAACCAGTTAATACAACTACTGTTCTAATTTACATACCAACCATTAATGCCAACGATGAAGAAATTAGTGACTCTTACCAACTCCTGCAGTCTGAAATTGAACAAGCATGCCATCAAGATGCACTGATAATTACTGGTGATTGGAATGAAAAAAAATGGAAAGAAGAAATATCAGCAGCTAGAAAATATGGTCTTGGCAACAGAAACGATGCTGGGGATTACGTTGCAAATTTTGCAAGACTAGCGACTTATTCATGGGCAATGCCTTTTTTCAAAACCATAAACAGTGATTATGTGGCCCTCACCAGATTTAATCCCCAGGAATCATGAACGACCGATGAGGGAGAAGCTCAGTTGTCAGCAGTTAAAACAAGGCCAGGTGCCAACTGTGGGAACGACCATCAAATAGTCTCATGTGAGTTCAAGTTGAAGGTAAAGAAAACGTAACAATTCGATAACAGCCAAAGCATTAAGCATACCCCACCTGAATTTAAAGACCACCTTAGGAACAAATTTGACACATTAAGTATCAACGATCATATCAAACAAGTGGTAGGATGACATCAAGGGCATCATAAATGAAAAAACCAAAGGTCGTTAAAAAGGACAGAAAGAAAATGCAAAACGGATGTCAGAAGAGACGCTGACATTTTTCCTTGCATGAAGAGTAGCAAGTGAAGGGAAGAAATGATGACGTGAATGCCGAACAGAGGAATTCAAAGGACGTTTGGAGAAGATAAAGTGAATATTAAATTAACATAAACAAAGACGTGCACTTAGAAAGCCCAAACGGAACAACATGCTTGGTAATTTTCAGGCTGAAGAAACTGAAGAAAATTTTAAACCCTGAGTTGCAATACCGAAGGATTCTATGGACAAAATACTAATGATGCATGAAGCATCAAAAGAACATGGAATCTACAGAGTCACTGTACCAAAAAGATGTGGGTGACATACAGGCATTTCAGAAGGTAGCAGAAGACCAAGAACTGGAAATACTGAAGAAGTCCAACTGAACTGAAGGTACTGGTGAAAAACAAGACTCCAGGAATTGACAGAAAACCAATCGAATTATTTCAACTCATGAATACAGAACTGGAGACGATCACTCTTCTAGACCATGAAATTTGGAAGGCAGCTAGTTGGTCAACTGACTGGAAGAGAAAACTATTGGTATTATTCCAAAGAAAGACAATCCAATAGAATGCAGAAATTATCAAGCAATATCATTAATATCACAAGCAAGTAAACTATCACTGAAGATCTGTATATTGTTATGCTGCATATTGATCAGTATATTGTGTATCAGTATGTTGTTATACA